ATTCCTCAAACATGACCGGTTTATGCAGACCTGGTAGGATGCCAGCCAAGAAGAGAGAAAGTTGGTAAACAGCGAGAGTCAAAGCCAACGTCAAACACAGAGGCCAAAGTACTTGGGCAGACTTGAAAATGGTTTCACCACAGCTGTAAATGTGTGTTTGTATCCCTGTTCTACTTAAGGCACCACAATACCATCACTGATGAAGTTGGACTTTCAAGGAAAAATGAAAGCGATCTCTTCAGAGCTCTGTGGTAACAGGGTGGATCATGTAAAGCTCATTCCTGGCACTGCACCCAGTACCAGTCCCTTCTTTACCATTCAACTGGCTGTTATTTCCTCCAGGAAGCCTGCCATGGCCTCCAAGTTCAGGCTAGGTGTCCTTTGGAGGACTTATGACAGCAGCTGTGCGTCCCTCTCTTAGCACTCGTCCCACTGTGACGCTGCTTTGCTATGTGCCCGCTCCTGTCTCCTTCACTGCTGTCTTCCAAGAGCCAGGCAGGCAGAGAGCTGGGACATGGCAGGTGATCAGCAGGCTGATAAATCCTGTGAGGCTTGTGGTGATGCTGAACATGAGAGATGTTTTCCAGTCCAAAGAATCTAAGAAAATATGCAGCTGGGCCAGGGATTTAGCTCAGTGGTTCCACTGCCTGCCTGGCCAGCGCAAGGTCTGGAGTTTGATCCCCGGTACCAAAAAAAAAAAAGAAAAGAAAATATCCAGCTTATAAACATCTAGAACCCAACTACTCTTCTATCTTTAAAACCCTCTGTGGCACTGCAAATATCAAGCTGCTCCTGTGTCGCAGAGAACATTTGACAGAGTGTCAGAAGAGCCTTAGCATATTCAAATGATGTGAACCGGCCCCGGGGATTTAGCTCAGTGGTGCCACCGCCTGCCCCGCAAGCGCAAGGACCCAAATTCGATCCCCAGTACCAAAAACAAAACAAAACAAAACAAAAACAAAAACCAAAATCAAATGATGTGAACCAAAATTGCTGCTGACGGTGGATCTTAAAGAAATAAGTATAACATGGGCCAGGGATTTAGCTCAGTGGTTCTGTCGCCTGCCTTGCAAGCGCAAGGACCTGAGTTCGATCCCTAGTACCAAAAAAAAAAAAAAAGAAAGAAATAAGTATAACCACAGAGGAAGTATATCACTGCACAGTCCTGTTACAGTAGAAAAAAATTCGAATTTTCTCAGTAAGGAAATATAAGATTAAAGAAAGAGTCATTGGATTGCAAATTATACAGCCATGTTGGTGGGGGGAATCACATTTTTAAGCGAATGTTTAATGAACTGGGAAAAATGTTGTCTTATAGTATTAAGTAAAAAAAAGCAATCCATAAGATTATATAATCTATATGATCCATTATAAATTTCTTGCACCCCCCACACATATGTAAGAGAGAAAATATTGGTAAGAAAGATATCTACTGATACATTTATCTGCATTTTCCAAGCCTCCATTAAAGTATACATTACTTTTCAAATCAGAATAAAAGGAAGTTAGGATAAAAATACATTCCAGTTCTCGTTTTTGTATGTCCTTTTTCTCAAAGCTTCAGTTTAGTAGCATGGTACATGAGGCTGTCGGGATAAAAACGCAAAGATTTTTTTTCCTCCTTGGGATTGTTCCAGTTGCGGCTATAAGCAGATACCAAGGGACTCTGGGCTGCTTCCTTCTGAGAAATTAATTATTCTTATAAAGGCAGGAATGAGACTGTAAAGCAAAATCGGCAGGACAGAGGGCATATGTCACTTCTACATAAAAAAGTAGCCACTTTTTAAAGCAAATCCCATCTTCCTCTCTTGCCTGCCCCAGCTGGGTGGACACTGGGTTGGATCACAGAGCTGTGTTGTCATTCGCTCCCTTCCCTCAAAGCTCGTGGCTCCTCCTGAGTTGTCACACATCTCTTTCTATGGCCTTCTTTCTTCTCTACCTCCCCTGCTTACCCCTGCATTCATGAGGCCACAATGAAGAGAACTCAATGGAAATATGTAGAAGGTTCTCAGTCTGTCAGAGAGTGGGTGGAATAAAAACATGAGTAAGTGATAATGATGCGTGCTACACCAATCATTCACCAAGCGATGTAGTTCCTGCTCTCCATCTCTTTCTTCTCGTGCTGATGAAAGAAAACTGATCTTGAAGATCCCTAGTTGAGTTCCCAAACAGACATTTCAGTTTGGTTTTAGATTTGGTGGTATTAGGATTGGTATCATTATGTTTTGTGCCAGGGTATTTTATTTCATTAGGTTCTAAACAATCAGAGAACAGATTTTCTAAGTAATAATTTTATTCAATACCAACAATATGTTTATATCAATAAAATATTAAAACCTTTGTTTTACACCACATTTGTTTACAGAACTAATCACTTGCAATTACCTCTAGGAGTTAAACAAATCACATTTCAAGCATTTTAAAACTCGGGCTTGTTTTTAGAGATGTTTTCATTTAAACTATAATTAAATTATAACCATAAAGTGAATGAGTAGAAGTTCTAGCTATGTAGCTAGTACAAGTTCCTAGTCATTACTTGTAAATACACACTTTATTTTAAAATACAAGCTATGACAAGATCAGAAACCAGTTTTGTTTCTCTGGGAATAATTCCTTAGAAATCTAATCCAACAAAATGGAAGAAAGAAAAAGAAGGAAGAGGAGGAGGGGGAGGAAATGGAGGAAGATGGAGGTGGAGGAGGAGGAGGAGGTGAAGAAGGGGAAAAGGGGAAGAAGGTGATAAAGAAGAAAAACCCAAACAATAAAATAGTACAAGGTTCATTGCAAAGAACAAAGTTTAACATGTGACTTGAGCTCTTTTTTTATGTACTTTGTTGATAATTATCCCAGCTAAGGAAGAAATGACTTGTTTGATTCTTGCAGCCTTTACTTCTTCCACATGCCATGGGCTCTGGACATGTACAAACAAGGCTAGAATCTTGGCTCTATCCCTTAAAAATTGTGTAAATTTGGGCAAGTTGTTTATATAACTTCCCTATATCTCAGTTTCCTCATCTGTAAATGGAAGATAATACTATTGCCTAACTTATCCTGTTAGATAAGCAAATATATTCAAAATGCTTCAAACAATCCCTGATGCATAGTAAGTGCTCAATAAATTCTAGATGTGGCAATCCAGTTCTTATGGATTTTACAGTCTAGTGGCCACACAGACACAGTGGGTAGCAAAAGACATCCAACAGGCAGGCGGGAGTGCGTTCTGTGCCATGGCAGCCATGGGGTTGGTGGCTGGAGAGGTAGTGGTGGATGCGCTGCTGTATTTTGATCAAGGCTATGAGGCACCAGGCATGCGGGAAGCCGCTGCGGCTCTGGTAGAGGAAGAAACTCGCAGATACCGACCTACCAAGAACTACCTGAGCTACTTAACAGTCCCGGATTATTCTGCTTTCTAAACTGACATAATGAGAAATGAATTTGAAAGACTGGCTGCTCAACAACCAATTGAATTGCTCAGTATGAAGTGGTATGAGCTTCCAGCCCCTTCGTCAGGTCAGAAAAATGACATTACTGATGGCAAGAATGTGTAAATAATTCTATGGCCCAATTAGAGCACCAAGTAGTACGAACTGAGAATCTGGAGCTAATGTCACAGCATGGATGTAATGCCTGGAGAGTATATAACGAAAATTTAGTTCACATGATTGAACATGCACAAAAAGAGCTTCAGAAGTTAAGGAAACATATTCAAGATTTAAACTGGCAGCGGAAAAACATGCAACTCACAGCTGGATCTAAATTGAGAGAAATGGAGTCAAATTGGGTGTCCCCGGTCAGTAAGAATTACGACATTGAATGGACTATTGTGCAACTAGAAAATGAAATCTATCAAATTAAGCAGCAACAGGGAGAAGCAAACAAAGAAAACATCCGGCAAGACTTCTGAAAAGACTAACTTGCTGAGTAGGAAGGAAGAAAAGTTGGGCTCTTACAAACATCAGCCATCTAAACTGTCCCTGAACTATGAAGGAGAACAGCCTCTCACAAAAACCATTAGTGGGTAAATGTTTAGAAACCATAATGTATGGATTATTATAATAATTGTATCGAGAATCTTTGTGAAATAAAGGTTATCAACTTGGTATTTTTATAGCTAAAAAAAAAAAAAAGACATTCAACAAATTACACAGGCCACAGCTTCTTCTTTTGGTACCAGGGATCCAACTCGGGACCTTGGGCTTGTGAGGCAGGCAGCAGAACCACTGAGCTAAATCCCCAGCTCAAAGTCATAGCTTCTTTACAACTGTGCTAAGTGTAACAGGAAAAATGCAAGGTGATTGCTGGGGATAAGCTTTTTCACAATTCTTACTCTTCTGGGAGAAAAACTGGGGGGAAGTATATCCCTGCTCTGAAGAAGCCCATTTTGGCACAGGGGATAGGAGTGGAAGGCATTTTTCCAGTCCTTGTCTCTCCATGTAAGGTATTTCCTTCTGATAAAGGTGGAAATCCATACCTATCTGGAGTAAGATAACAGTTCAGAACGCTTTTATATTAAATAATTATTCTAGTAGCCTGGTAAGTGGTAACCCATGATTTATAAAAAGAGAGAAAAAAAAAGAAAGAAGGAAAGAAAAATGCAAGCATCCTTTAGTAGCAAATACTTATAAGTTGGGTAAGGCACAACTTAATTTTGAACAGAAGGAAAAAGAAGATGCGTCACGCAATGCATCAACTCCCTACGACGAATGTAGTTATCATGTACTGGAAATATGTACTAATAGAAATTTAAAAATAAATTTTAAAAGGTATAAAATTAGAACAACTGATTGAGAAAGTCAAGCTGAAGACAAAATAAAAGTGAATAATACAATGAAAATTGAGCACATAAATTTTGCATAGAGGAATTCACCAGGACCTCGGGCGCTAAGGGCTGAGGGAGGCCGGCGGCGGGCGCCCACCTGTCGGGTCGCCCCCTTCACCCCCCTCCCGAGTCTCGCCCCATCCCTGGGGTCCGCCTCCCTGCCAGAGCCCCCTCTCCTCACCCTCCAATCGCATCCCGCTTAGCTGTCCTGCGGCCAATCAGGAGGCAGGTTTCCCGAGGGAGGGGGCGGAGGGCGGTGCTGATTGGCAGAGGTTGATGTAGCCTATTTCGGCCTCCGGGCCATAGACGCAATCGTCCGCGGAGAGTGGAGGCGCGCGAGCCGAGGTCGTCGGACACCATGGCGGACAGCCGGGATCCAGCCAGCGACCAGATGAAGCTGTGGAAGGAGCAGCGGGCTGCGCAGGTACAGCCTGTGCCCTCCCAGCCGGCCGGAAGCGGGGCGGCGGCGAGTAACGGCCCGGTGTCCCCGGCCCGCGGAGTCCCCGAGCCGCGTCCCGGGCTGTACCACCGGGGCGGCGGCGGGGCTGCCTGTGTGGCGCCGGACGGTCGCATTCACGGCGGGGGGGGGGGGGCTGTTCCGGCGCGGCCTGCAGGAGTTGTTGCTGGACTCTGTCTTGGCTCGGGAGGTTGGCTTCCAATTTTGCACTTGTGCCAGCTGGGACAGAGGTCACAGCTTGAGGGCGGGATGGAGACGAAGGGGCGAAGAGGCGGAGAGCTGCAGCTCCGAGAAAAGGAAGTGAGGGGCGAGAGGGACCAGGCTGTAGCCTTAACCTTCCTGTCTTCGGGTTTGTGGGTTCCCGGGGACGCTGTTTAATAATCTCGATGTCCCCAGCCACGATCAGCGGTGACACCTGTAGTAGCATAGCATTAAATCCCTAAATAAAAATAATTGTAAAATCCATTGTTTGATTATATACGTCAGGCCTAGCATTTCTGAGCTGGCAGCGACTGACAGCAGGGACTAATTATTGGGCTGTATTCTATGAGTGCCTGCATGTGCTAGGCACCGCTGGCCCCGGTTTATAATTGGAATAAGGCAAGACCCACGCCTTGAGAAGCTCAGAGCCTAGCCTGGGACACAAGCCATATAAACAGATGATTATCAGTCCCGTGCAAGGCTCTAGAACAGGTTACCTGTATAGGTCAAAGGGCGCAACCGAGTTGGCGGCGAGGCTCCCCAAAGCAAGTGACATCCGAAAGAACCTTTAAAAACGAGGGGGGTTTCAGCCCAAGGTGGTTAGGGAGGCATTCCTGGCCCTTGCCCAAGGGTGCAGAGTCTCAAAGGGCATCTTTGAGGGGTGGGATTAGATGAGCCTGCATCTGATTGGAGCCTTCTTTGGCAGATGGGGCCATAATGTCCTGTGTGGTTCCCATGGAAGCTGGTTAATGTGGCAGAGAGAGGTCTAGAGCCTGCTTTGCCTGGTCCTGTCCAGTGGTGTTTTCTCAAAACTGCCAATGTTGGTGACTGGGGGATTGGTGGGCTGTGCTCAGGGATGGCGTTAGTAGTTCCCTGGGTGTGAGAAGGCTGCCAGGCTCCTTTAGGCTCTTGGTCCATCCTTTGTTTTAGACCACCAGGACAGTTCAGTTTTTCATAAGTTCTTACAGCGAACCCAAGAAATTTAGACTTAATCAAGGACATGCAGCTGGTTGGTACAGAGTCAAGATTAGAACTGAGTTTCTTGGGGCCAGAACTGGCTGCCTGCCTGGTGGCTGTTAAATCCTGATTCACACCCAAGTTTTCATGAATACTTGGTGAATTGAGAAAAATATGGACAATGCAGTGACATTTTTATGAACCAAAAAGTATATGCATTTCCAGAGGACTCACCTTTATTCTGAGAAGACGAGCTTGCAATTCGTTTGGGACGATCAGTAACTATTGTTGAATCATTAAGTCCCTGCTGTTGATTTCCCTGAGGTAGATGCCCATGTGAGAAACAGCTAGCCCAGAAAGTACCTCTGTAATTGGGGTTTGAAATACTGCCATCTCCTTTGCCCATGATATCTCAGTGCACTGTCTACACCATCCTGAGTGGCAGTTACATTAATCTCTTGTTTTTCGGTTTTTGATACTCTGAGTGAAAATTGCTTTTTTTTTTTTGGTGGGGGGAGGTGACCCCTTTACCCTTCAAAAGGAATTTTGCACATGCCACATAGCTTATATAATTTTCAAATACTTTATTATGAACAATTCAGACATTCAGAAAAGTTGAAAGAATTGTACAGGGCATACATATATATATATATATATATATATATATATATATATATATATATATATATAAAATCTAGAGTCTGCAATTAACATTTTGCTGTATGTCTTTTGAAACCAAGATATTTCATCTGTTCATCCCTGAATATATTCAGTAATGATTAATTTTTTAATGCATCTCAGAGTAAATTGGAGACATTAGTATACTTTATCCATAAATGTTGAGCATGCAAACTAAGAGATCAATATGCATTTATGTTTTTAAGGTGATATTTCTGTCTTTTTTAAAGGTGATTTTTCTATATAGTAAAATACCCAAATTTCTATATAGTGAAATACCCATACTTCTCCATGAGTTTCAATAGATATATAGACCATTAAATTCTAAACCCTTACCAAGATATGGAAGATAATCATTTCCTCATATTGTTTTTTAGTAATTCCCTGCAAATTCCTGAAATATCACCCCAGGAACCATTGTTTTGAATTTTTTGCACTTTTTATTTTTTCAAAAGATTTCTTTCATTCAGCAAAAATGTTTTAAGATTCATTCATATTGTTGTATATATCAGGGTTTGTTCTTTTTATTCCCGTGTAGTACTGCATTATATGAATATAATTACATTTGTTTATCTTGTTGATGAATAAGCCATTTCTAGTTTTTTGCTATTATGAATAAAATTGTTATGAAAATTATTATTCCAGTCTTTTTATGCTCCCTTGCTTTCAATTTTCTTAAGCAAATGCCCAGGCGTGGATTTACTGGGTCATAGGGTAAGTGAATGTTTTTTGAGAAACTGCCTAGCATATCCCAAAGTGGTGATACCATTTTATGCTGTCATCAACAGTGTATGGGAGCTCGAGTTGCTCCATATCTTACCGACTTTTGGTGTAGTCAGTCTTTTAATTTTAGTCATTCTTGTGGTAAGGAGGTCATGGCTCCCTGTAGTTTTAATTTGCATTGCTCTGATGACTAAGGATTCTGGGCCCCTTTTCACGTGCTTATTGATCATTGGTGCATGTTCCTCAGGAGTAACTGTGAACACATCTTTTCTTCTTTTAAAAATTGGATTGTTTTTCTTTTTATCGTTGATCCATAGCCCATATTTTAAGTTAAATAATCTGTGGAGTAAGTGTTGTAATGCTAGAGCCCAACATGTAATGATGTGAACACAGAAATTTCTCATACATAATGGCCCAAAGTGGTCCGAGTTTGAAGTGGAGTGAGTGAATAGCTCACTTCCCACAGTATTGAGGGCCCTAGACTCCCTTTGGTCAACACATGGCTTTTTTTTCTGGTACCGGGGATTGAATTCAGGACCTTGCCCTCATGAGGCAGGCGGTGGAACCACTGAGCTAAATCCCCGACCCCAACATGTGGCTTTTAAGGTGCTAGAAGCATTTCTCTGCCACCACAGAATAGTTAAGTGCACAGAGGAGATACTCTGGAGGTGTAGGGACCAGGTCACTACCACTCCACTCACATTCCCTTGGCTAGAACTCCCTTACAGGCCACACCTGTCATCGGCCCGTGTGCAGGAAGCCAACTCCACTATATTGTCTAAAGCCTACGTCCCACATTTGATGAAAATTTCCAACCATTTTCTCATGATGTGGCAATGAGCTGACAGATGTGATCTCCTTTGAAATAACATGTCCTTTTTACATTGTCATTAAGATATCCTTTATTTTGATTTTGTGCAGGATTTTGAGAGATTTACATTTTGACCCTTAGGAAGACACTCTGCTGACTCCTCCCTACAGAGCCTCATGCAGAATGCCAAGCTGGGTGGATCCTTTTTTAGCACCAGGGTGTCCAAATGTGCAAGCGATTTATTTATTAGGCGTTTCTCCCTGTGGCCAGATGTTATTGCTGACAAGTGAACTGGGAGCTCTAAAAACATTAATAGCTGAGCATATCAAATGATGCCATAGGCATGACTTGGATCCACCTAAAAGCCTTCATCTGTCTTCATTTCAAAGTACTGATGGGAGGAAGACAGTCCTACAGATGTCCCCAGGCTCTTTGAACAGAATTTAAATGGGAACTTCGGTGCTCACTGCTTAGAATGCATGGGCTCTTCCTCTGGGATAGGTCACCATAACAAGTGGCCCCATCCTATCTGATCACAATGGAGAATCTGAACACTTCAAGCCTTACCTTTTATATAGTTAGTAACTTGGGAGGGGAGAGAGTGGGTCTTTACCTGTCCACTCCTGGCAGTGCGTTGTCTGCATGTGTAAGCATGATGATAAATGTGTTGCTGTTACACTGCCAACATTTGGGATGGAAAGAGAATTTTTTTATTTCCGTTTTTATTTCCATGGGAAACACCTAGGAGTGGAATGGCTATGTCAGAGTATGAAAGCAGGAGGGACATTATGAAAGAGGAGTTGAAATTGCTAAGCTTTCATTTCTACTTCTTAGCCAATATCTAAACTGTTCTATTTTTTTTCCTCTTGGCAAAAAAGGAGAGGCTGATTGCAAAATGTAAAAGAAGCAAATATTAATTCATGCCTATTTTCTCCATTTTGTTCTTAATTTTTTAAGTACTATGACTATTGGAGCTCCTAACACAAAGGGTAAAGGAATCTTTTTCATATATGCGGCAAATATCCTTCATGTTTTGAGTTGATGTCTACAAATTCTCCCTCTGTTCTCTGCCTTTTCTCTGAGAGTGAAAGGCAAAACTAAGTCTTGGGGCTACCAAGCTTACATAAAACAGTTTTGGCCGAATAACTGTTATACTGTGTATTTTAAAGGTTTTGCTTCCTGTAGGATTATTCTAAATGTTTTGAGTTGAAAACTAGTAGCAATGTTTTGATCATTTGTGGTTAGAGACATTGTAGCAGTAAAGTGAACGACTTGGCAATTCACCAAGAAGCAATGAAAAGAAAATAGCAACTATTGAAACATGTTTACTTTAGTATAAAATAATAGATCAGGGCCTTGCTTGGAAAACAATGTTTCTGAGTTGGATGAGGGGGAGGAACTGCATTTAGTCTGTGCTTAAAGGTCCAGCTCTGTGAGCTTGGAGCCTGACATTTATTCTCTTCCTTGTAAAACTGTTACTTTATTTTTTCCTGGAATTAAAACTACCTACTGGTTCTCTTCCCAGGAACTCTTGGAATCAGTTTTCATCTTCTTCTGCCCTTTTCTCTCCCTGTTCCCATGCAGTTTAACACCAAGA